AAAGAATTATAGTCAAAGTATGAAAAAGTCAAAATACTAAAGTTTGGTTATGTCTAACCTTGCATCTCGTTTTCTACCTAACCTTGCATCCGGGTTTTTGTTGACCCGGATGATAAGACCCAAAAAACTGCATGTTCCTCTTTTTCGTTGCAATTTTTAATGTAGCTTTTCTTTTTGGTAGGAATTGGCACTGGAACGCATGTTCTTGATTTTTTGTGGTTCTACAAACAGTCTCTACTTAAGAATAAAGCAAACACAAGTGTGAACAATGGAGCTGGCAAGAATAGAGGCAACACAGGTGGTGTGTACTTTCTGTTCATGTTGTTTATTATATAATTTGATTGATGTGTTCTATAAATGATAAGGGGCTTAAACAGAATAGTCCTATCTAATTGTTCTCAGGTGAGAGTTACGTAAATCCAAACAAGAAGATGGCTACCAAACTGACATAGAAGTTTTGGGACAACTTGTAAAGTCACGACAGAGACCGTCTCTACTGCTTCAATAGCCACGGATGATAAGACCATATCTGCTTCATATGATAAGACCGTATTTGTGTTTTCCTTTTACTTATTTCTTGTTCGATGTTACTTGTTTTATAGTGTTTTTGCAGTGCTTATACTTGAGACTCATGCGGAGAGTCGACATATGCATGCGATTGAACAAGCAATGCACAAAGCGAAGAACAAAATGTTGCCAAAATCTGGTAATGATCGAAAAACTGTATGGGTTTCCCTTTTCTTTACATTTTATGAATTTATCTTTTATTTTCTTGTAGGAATAGGCACTGTATCGCGTGTTCGTCAGCCACTATGGTATTATGAACAATCTCTACTGATAAATAGAGCCAATGCACGTGTTAAAACTAAAGCTGATATGTAATTACTTGTTTTTTTATCATGTTTATTACATAATTTTATGGGGAGGGGGGTTCTATAAATTATGGGAGTCATAAACTAAATATGGTATATGCACAAAATGTGGTATTATGAACAGTCTTATACACACTACAAAAAAGAAGCTGATTGTATCATTTATTTTATTAGTTGACATCATTTTTTTATTGACACAACAAAAATTACATCATTTCTATGAGTAATTTTGAAAATAGTGACTCTAATATTATGTATAATAAAAAAACCGACGTAAATATTTTCATCATTTATTATAACTGATGTTAATATGTGTCGCCTGTATAAATGATATTAAATATTTGTTTCAGTTATAACAATTGATGTTAAATATTTATATCATTTATTTAGTTGATTTTATAAGTACATTAGTTATTAAAAAGTTTTTTATATTACCTGTGATTAATTGATGATAAATTTAATATTAATTTTGTATTAAACATAATTTTATTGGAATGTTTAATAATGTTTTATTGTTTATAAGCTAAAAGATTAATAATGTTTTATTGGAATTAAGTCTCCTTGATTATAGTTGCTCATAATCGACTATGACTTTATTTATATAAGGATTTGTTTTTTAATCATTCCACAATTGTGTGGATGTGTGATAATTTGACTTTATCAACTTGCATCAATAATATGAAATAACATCAGTTTAATCTAACCGATGTAACATGATTAA